CTGTCTCTGGTGAAGCCTCTCGCCGCCCCTGAGCCTCTGGCCTGTACCCCAGTTCTGTATGCACAAATAAATAAATCTTTAAAAAAAAAAATCTGCAGAGAATACAGAAAGATATATATGTTATGAACCCATAATCCATTAAAATGCAAGGAAAAAAAAAACTACGAGGTTATTCAAGTTTTTGTATACTGGGGAATCTCTTTTAGCAAGAACTAAACTTTTTATAATCATTAAAAAAAACAAAAAAACCACTAAACTTTCAGAAGGGCCTGAACATAGGTGGGAAGTGAAATCCAGCCCTTACCCACAGCGGCATAAAATGGCAGCTACCACAAGCTTGAGAGTAAAATGTCCTTAAATTTTCTAATTGTTGGAAAAACTGTAAGGCCAGAAAGGAGTAGGTGAAGGACAGAGATGATAGCAGGCCTCTGAAAAACAACTTATGAAAGCTGAATATATGGCCTTAAAAATAGAATGTGGATTCAAATACCTTGAGATAAGATTATCTTACAAATACCTTGTAAGATTTGTGAAAATTAGTATGAAGTTAACAACTCCATGGAGCAGTGAAACCAAAGAGCCCTATCAGTGGTAGCAAAGTGACAGAACTTATATAGCACCAGGGCTGTCCTGCAAGAGATCTGCTAACTAAAGATATGTAAAGAAAATATTAAACTCTCAGCTGCTAAAAGATAGTATTGTAAGATACTGTAAATCATAATGTTTGTCCATTTGAAATACATGTGCTATAACCAAAGAAGAAAGTAAACCTCTGTCTTTTATCAAGAGATCTTTATCAGTTTTAAGAATTGATCCTGTTTTTTCATTAAAATTCACCGTACACGGCCCTCCCTGGTGGCGCAGCGGGTTAAAGCACTGCACTAAGAAACTAAAGCCACTTCCGCATGAGTTCGATTCCGGCCTGCCCGGGAGGTGACCACATGGCGAGGCAGACCTCTCCTGACCGCCCGCTGCTCCCCTCAGCAGTGTACTTCATCGATCTGCCTGTTCTGCTCCCAACTCTGTTCCTGGTGAATCCTCTCACCCTCCGCATCTCTGGCCTGTACCCCAGTTCTGTATGAGTAAGTAAATAAATCTTAAAAAAAAAAAAAAAAAAATTCAGTGGAAAAATTTCCGTTTCTCTTCATTCTTTCTAGTATTTAATCATTTTAGAATTAAAGACTTCTTAAACCTTCCTTTTTAACTTTAAGTAACAATGGTTTATAACGCCATACAGATTTAGACATTTATATCACAATAATATGCTCATCATCATACAGTTGACCTTTTTACTCCACTTACCCTTCCTGCTTCCCCCTTTCCTTCTAGTGGCCATTATTTTGTTTTTGTAGTCTAAAATAATTTATTCTTGTTTGTTCATTCATATTGTTGTTTAACTATCATGAATAAAATTACATAGTGAAGAACTTTATTCTTATCTTTAATTAAATTTTCTTTCTCCTATTTCAAACTATTTCCTCTTAGATGCAGAACTTGATCACTACTTGTTCTTAATAATAACTATAACCGATCTGAAGACATGCTACTGCTAAGATTCCTCTTACTGAATTAAGTAGTCTCAACTTTCAAAATGGTCCAGACAACTTTTACAATTTTCTAAACAGTTTCATATAATATTGCCAACCATGTAAACAGCAAGTTTATTTTCTTTCAAAATTTTTTTATTACAGGACAAGTAAATATGCCAAGAATTCCTTTTTTCAGTGGGTTTTATCCATATTTCTTAATCCTTACTTTGTAACATCTTTTATGTCATTGAAAAGACGTAAAAGTCTTTTTCTAACAGTCTTTACTTGATTTCCAAAACAACACTGCTGAAGGAGAAAAATGTATTATTAATCCTATAGATGAACAAATAATAATAAATCAATAAACCTGATTAGGCCACATAATTAGTAGTAGGTAGGAAACAAGAACTAAGTCCAAACCTCTGACCCTAAGACTGATAGAAGTTGAGAGTTTCCTTTGTAAAGTATCACTGCTCATTACTGATTCATCATACATGGTATAAATTTTCCTAGAAGCAGGTAGTTTCACTGATATTATACTAATTGAGTAGGAAAAAGGGAAACTGGGATATCTATGAGTATTTTTAAAAAACTTTTCCTTATGACTATTATATTCCTCCTCTGACTTTATTCTAAGATGAAGCTTTATTATGAATTAGCAATAGCAGTTATGTTTTATGCAGTTGTAAGCTACCAGGCCCATTATTTCCAGTAATGGTATTATACAAATCAAACAAAATTCATATTTTTGTTTGGAGGATATAATACCTATACCTTGAACATTGAACGTTTTAGCAGTGTTTATAATATATAGACTGTAGGTAGGTGGGAAGCAAGCAAACATTTAAAGGTTAGGGAGGTCTGTTTATGTATCAGAAAATAAAGGGAAGGAGCACCTAGGTTTGATGAATCACAAAATATGTTTCATTAAGTCAGCTAAATTACTGTTGATATTTTGGAAATATAAGCTAGGGGGATAAGATTCCCTTCTTCAGATATGTTACTGTGGAATACCAAGTTTTTAATAGTCTTTAGTAACACAAAGGTCCAAAATATTTGCTAACATAAACAGATCTTGTGTTTTAAAATTGTAATTTTTAATTGGCTAGCATGACCAGAATTTGATATTTAAGTTACAGTTTAAGCTCCCTGATTGGCACTGCATAGGCAGTTCAAAGTATCTACAATGAAATGGCAGCTGAGGAAGAGAATCCAAAGGAAGAGAAGACTGCAAATATCAACAGAAATGAGGGTTGTAAAAAATTTATTTTCCCAGAGTTAATGACTCCCTTCTACTAGTCTAGTTGCTAAGGTCTCACATGTACTTGCCTACCTTGAATAACCCTTGATGCCTGCTTTTATTTGAATTAGAGGGTAAACTACTATGCGTTAAGTCTTTTAACCTAATCTCATTTAATCTTCATACCAACTATATGAAATACACAAAAGAGTGACATAAAAGGGCAAGTGGAGGTTTTTAAAGAGTCCAAATAAGCAAGCTGTCCCAGATCACATAGTTATCAAGTGCAGAGAAGAAATTAATGTGGTTTATCTGACACACAATGAATATTCCTACAAAGCAGTATTCCAAGGGCTAAGCAATAGAAGTCTATTCAGTTAATTTAGCAATAAAAGGAATGTAAAAGACCAATTTAGTCAGCTTTTTCTTTTTTATCATTATCACACACTGGTAATTATAAATAATATCAGTTGATAAAAACTTCTTTTACTTGCTACTTCCCAAGCCACTGTTCTCATACCATGTTAACTCCTACAATAATACTTTAAGATTGAGGCAGCTGATATTTTAGTCAACAGACCATCTTAAAATGAATTTTTTCTATGGATTATACAGATATTGTCCACTAATCCTTTCAAACAGTCCTTTCCAAATAACATATTTTCTCCCATACTGCTATGTGCACACAGGCATTTCCAAAAGTCTGGGCGACCTACCCAAATGTGGGCAGCTAGGGAGCAGCACTATCTGCATCTTTTACGGGCTGCTATGATGCAGCTCAAGACAGGAATTTCTAAATTTGGTATTAATTAGCTTCAGAATAAAGAGCAATTCCTATAGAAATGCCAACCTACCAAAAAGCCCAATCACATTCATAATGCTATTCTGAGTGACATAAATAAAATTAGTAAAGCTTACCACATAAGGAACTGTATCTGTACATACCTGTCTAATTTATGTGTACTAACAGTATTCACAACTACAGAAGTATCTAATGCAGAAAATGAGAGCTAACAACTATCTTTCCCCAGGACTTCTGCTTGACCTACCGGATATCATGCAAGTGGAATATCTGCAATGACCACGTTATCAAAATGGCGATTGCACTTTGCAAGGTTTTTCTGTGTATGAAAACTGTACATGATTAATAACTACATTAGCAGTTATTAATTTCCCCCCAAATATGACCATGTAATTAAGACTGTACTTAATTTTGTTCAGAAATTTACCAAGATCTATAATCATTTCAGAAAACTGTGTCACTAATTCACCAATGACCACGATGTCTGTGGTATTTGAATAATTAATTCTATGTATGGTATTTATATACTTCATTTTACTCTTTTAGTAGCTAATACTCTTTTAATAGCTAAGCTTAAATATATAGTAATAATATATTCTATTACAAATAACTTTGCTCCTCCTTTATGGCATCACACTGATTTAAAAATTTTAATCTCAGTTAAAGTATTACAAATCTCATTTTAGGATAATATTCAGGATACAAAGGCATTAATACATTACAAAAGGGAGTAATGTCACAATTATGAATCTCAAACTCATCACATGTCTGGTATAATAAAGATTGCTAATCTGCTAAATAAAGATTTCCAGTATAAGAAAAATAGGTAAGAATGTTATTTTATGATATAAGAAATATACATCTAACTAATATATGTAAAAAGCAAGGTAGCTTTAAGTTCTTTTTTCTCCAAAACAACTGCAATTTAATACTGTGGCAAAAAAAAAAAAAAAAGGAAGTAAATGGCCAGTTAAAGATAGAGAATATTCTTACCTTCCACTGCAAAGTGAGCGAATTTTTGGTCCGATTAGCTATCCTTGGTGGGTTAGGTATGTCAGGCTCACAGCTCAAAGTAGTAAAGCTTTCAGCTTCTGAAGGTGTTCCTTTTATGGAATTGTATTCTGCCTGGACTCTATTTGGCAATAAAGTTTCATGTGATTTAGAGAACAACTTATAATTACATTTTAAGAAATGTAGATCAAATGTATTTTTCAAAGTGCAGCACTTTATAGATGTGTATTACTGCATTAAGGAGTAATGTTCAGTATTTTATTGTCTTAATTCAGTGTTTCATTGGATTAATTTATTGCTTTTTAGCACATTTTGTTAATGGTCATATCCTCTGAGAAGTAGAAAAAGTGTAAACAATCAATATAGCATTATTTAGCATGATTAACATTTAAAATGGTCAAATTTACTAAAACTTATAATGGTGATCATTCTGCAATATATACAAATATCAAACAATTATGATGCTATATACACGAAACTAATGTTATATATCAATTATAGCTAAATAAAAAATTCAAAAAATGAGGAATGTAACCTACAAAATAAATTCATGATTCACTGGTTACAATTCACAATTTGAAAAACATAAGGTTAGACAATACTTTCTATTTATCCACAAGAGGTACTAGGAAGACTTAATGGTTGAACAGAAATAATCCCAATCACAAGTTTTTTTAAAAGTGGAAGTGACTGATTATTTAGTCCCAGCTGGGGAGCTGACTAACATTATATTTATTCCCCGCTGGGAGGCAGGCCCTAGAGTCCATAAAATTTTGGTAAACTGTAATAAAAAGTATCTAAGTTACCCCCAGTAATATTGTAAAATACGATGAATTTTAATATCCTAAACTCTTTCTAAAGTTGGATATAATAAAAACACGTTTAAGCATAAATCAAGTACTTATGATTCTGTCTTTAAAAATTGTGAAGTTGGGACAATTTTCTTGTGCTAAATTATCATAGACATTATCTGTACATTCATTAAAATCACTAAGTTCTACAAAGAGGGTTCAGATTGGCTCTTTAATATAAAATTTGGGATAATTTTTGGGGGGAGGGGTGAAGGAGAGAGTGCTGATGATCATACAAAGAAAAACCAAATCCCACAGATCATGGTTAAGTGATATTACAGAGTCAAAGAAACAAGTAAAAAAATCCCAACAAACCTACGTTATGTCATAAAAAAGCAACTTGTAAGAATTCCTTACTTTGCATGGTAATCCGTAGCTGGTTTGAGATCATTTAAAGTGACACTTGTTTCTTCTCCTCTGGGGGGAAAAATAACATTTCCTTGTTTGATAAAGGATTTAAGAGGATATACATTATATACACTATAGTTGGGGGTACTTTGTGAAATTAAACTGCTTATTTTACCAACTTTAAAAATATTCAGATTTCACTAATATGGAAATTTATGTAATCAGGTTCTATGCCAAACAAGTGTGTACCTGCAAACCACTTTAAGATAAAAAGATGTGTCAAAAACAATGATATAAGTCAGACTTTTTTTTGAGTAGTTAGGGAAAATATTTAACTTAATGAAGAAATGGAACCATTTCAATGATTTAAACACCTATTTCCACACAGTAAAAATGCTAAATAGGGCCCCCCCTGGTGGCGCAGCGGGTTAAAGCACAGCACTAAGAAGCTTAAGCCACTTTCACATGAGTTCGATCCCCACCTGCCCCGGAGGAGATCCACATGGCGTGGCAGACCTCTCTTGACCCGCCCGCTGCTCCCCTCAGCAGTGTACTTCATTGATTTGCCTGTTCTGCTCCCCACTCTGTCTCTGGTGAATCCTCTCACCCTCCGCATCTCTGGCCTGTACCCCAGTTCTGTATGAATAAATAAATAAATCTTTAAAAAAAAAAAAAAGCTAAATAACATGTATACTGAAAGCAAAACTACTGCATTTTAACAAGTATTCTGCGACTATATTGCCTTTTATGAGAATAGAACATGGAACTTTCTTTAAAATGATAGCTTAATGGGTAGATTAAAAAAGTGATAAAGGAAAGCATTTCTCTGACCACTGTTGTTGCAAAAAAGATATATCATCTTAATTATTTGCTACAACTATTATTTGGGCATGTAACTACAAATCAGCCTGTTCTCTAATTTTCCTTTTTAATCACTCATTTATTTTAGTTCAAGTTTCCCTCCTTGCCACTTCATGGACTTCTTCCCCACATCCCCTACCCATCCTCACCCTTCTGTTTCCCAAATCTAAGCCAATAAATATTATGAGAAAGAAAACATATCTCATTGATTGACGTGCACTTTAACGAATAGGGCAGTTGTAGCAACATCCTTGGAGAGAGACCTTAATTAGTAAAGGGTGAAGGAGATGACTAATGTTCTCCTTGTAATCTCCAGTCAGGCTGCAAATGGAGATAAATTCTTCCTCTTAGTATCCATTAACACAAAAGAAGCCTTTGTTAATGGTCTGTTCTCTGTCTACTCCTTACGTAGGTTTGTCTCTTTTGAGAAAACAAGTACATAGGAGGAGGTCTCAACAGAGAGATGGAGACTGGACATATTATTACCATGTTACTATAATTTACTTTTATGCTTCAAGAATACATGAATAGTGAAACATCTATTAAACATCTCAAAAAAAAAATTAAACATCTATTGAAAAATTAAGCTTCAGGTGGTCAATGAAAGTGATTATTTCAAGGGGTTACAGAGAGAAAGTATACATACTAGCATGTATACTATTTACAATAAAATCACTATTACTGTTCAAATTTATAGATTGAAAATAAAAGCATCAACAGGGAAAAACAACATACTTGGTATTAAACTCTTTACAATAAAGTGTTAATTTAAATGATGGGAAGGAATAAAACACAAATACTTACGCATATATGCTTTTGTATTTCCCATCTTTTCCAGTACTAGAGACCAGAATTTCATAACCATAGAGATCTGGTACGGTAATTTCATCTGTTTCACCATTAATGAAGTTGGAAGGTGGTGACCAAGTAAGTACTATAGTCCGTGCTTGGATGTCTGATGCCTGCAAAACACAATATTTAAAAGCTCTTTGAGACAACTGTAATGTGTACAACAAACATTAAAAATCTTAAAGTTTCAACATTAAATAAAATATATCTGTATCTATTAAAAGAAAATGCCTTAAAGCAAAAACCCATTTTATTAGTGCTGCTTCACCTCTCCCAGATTTCCTACTTGCCCATTTAATATAATCCCCACTCCACCCCCCCAGTAATATATCACATTATCCCATTTCTGTAAACCTATTTTTTACTGTAAAGCTGGTTGTATTTTTAAAAATTATTGACATATAAAAACTCAATACATATTTTGATTGAATGAGAAATGGTACCTCTTCAAAAAATAAAGTAATAACATAGAGTTCAAAGACACAGCAAAGTAAGTGGAAGTAACAACATATAACCTTTTTTCATAAAGACAAAAGAAAATTTATATTTTAATGAACGGGCATATAAGAATGAACTGAAATAGGAATGGAAGGAAACCCATTTTTTAGGTGTGATTAAGGCTAAATTGGAAAGGGTAAACAAAGATTTATTTCTACTCTGAGAGTTAACATTTAATATTTAGGATTCAGAGTTAATCATTAGCATTTCTCTTAAGTTTCCTTTTAAAATGGAGTGAAGTTATGGCATTTACAAATAAGCAAAGATAGAAAATGACTAATCTGAACAAACTGTGATATTTTGATTTTTCTTTCTAGTCTTTCCCTAAAGTATTTTTTCCAGAAGACTGCAATTGTGGTGTCCAAATAATTTGGATCTCCAGCATTTTCGTGCTACCCACAAAGCATTTTTGCGGTCTTCAAAATGATATTCTTATTAAATGACTGTATCATTCTATTATGGAAAAATACCCCACTTATCTATGCATTCCTTTTAGTTTTATTAATGCTAATGCTGCAACAAACTTTTTGTTTGTATAACTTTTTACTAAAAAAAGGGACCTACAGTTACAGAGAAGTTTAATTTACATTTCTTTTGATTACTAGTGAAGAACAGTTTGTGGCCTTAATGGGTTAAAAAAATACAATTTATATGAACTACTAGGATGGCAGGATATTTTTAAAAATGAAGGAAATAACAAAACAATGAAGAATATTTTATTAGCTATGTCTGCTGCCTTCTTTTTCTGATTCCCGAATTTATCTACATTTATAAAAGGGTTGGGAATATTACTTTTTGTCTGTAGTTTGATTTTATTTAACTTATTTTCACTTGGATTTAGATACATTTTATATGAAAATCATATAAATGGATTCTTAAAAAAATTGATAACCAGTTGTATCCACACTAATTATTAGACCTCTGCAAATTCCAACTATCTACAGTGTCATTTAGCATATATTAAATTCCTGTTTAACAATGAAAAATTCTTAAGGCTGAGAAATATACTGGTTATCACAGGAGGTTGGGGAAGGTGGGATAGGCTAAGGGAAAGAAGGTGATAGTACACTTGTATCGAATCTTTGGTGGAGGGAGAGTGTAATATGTACACAGATGCAGGTGTGAAATTGTACTCCCAAAATTATATAGTTAACTAAGTGATTGGCAAATGAATAAAATTTGAGAAAAAAAAAACCTTGCTTAAAAAATGAATTCTTGCTTGAATATCCTGCTTTACTCAAAACATCTCTGTGTCAGATTGATATCAATCCACTACTGACTTCACATTTCTTATGTACATAAAAATTACCAAAATCTGATTGAGTACACTAAATACAAATGTCAAGAAAATACATGAGATACTCACCACTGGCTTGACAATGTTGGACAGAAGTGCTTCAAAAGCTTTAGTTTCTTCATCTTTTTCTTAAAAAAAGTTTTAATATTAAAAAAATGAACTTAAATGCAATCATCTCTTTCCCTCCACACTATGTCTCCTGAAGCTAAGATGCTTTTATTTAACTATCCAGTGGTATGTGGCTTTTTAGCATTCTGTAGTTTCGAATGTCATCTTAACTATAATACATTATATAGCTAAACCAGTCAATAAACTTTTCTTATAAATTATACCTTATTCAGATTTGAAAAAATTACTTTCTCTCTAGAAAATTTTCATTTTCCAATTGTTTTTACCATCAATTTTGCAATCAACTTCCCTTAATGACAAGTTTACTGAGTATTTGTTTCATGAAATGTCTTAATTTGAGTCTCAAAATAGATGTATTATTGGCTTGACCATAAGTTTTAGCCATCACAAATGTGCTTGAAACTTTAACTCTTCTTAAACATCAGAACTGGGAAAGAATGACTAAGTTTCAAAAAACGGGAGAAATATTTTGCTATATTTAGTAAACAAGCCAGGAGATCATTACAGCATTAAAATCTAGAAAAGTAAGTGGTGCTCATTATGTGAGAAGTCACAGATTAGGGGAAGTAGCCATGGGAAAAAGGGGGCATTTTAATAGAAAACACCTTCTGAAGAATCCTAACTGAGAGTATACAGATAGGTGAATGCCATAACTAGTTGCTATCAGGAACTTACACATAGAGAAAGGAAAGCTAAAAAATTTGATAAAATCCAGCACACCCCTATCAAAGGTACAGAAAGAGAAGTAATGGAATCTGGTTGAATTTTATCTGTGTTTTCCTATCATATAGAAATTTCTCTTGGTTAGTAAAAATTTATGACACAGATGCAATTACTAAGTAAGTTTTCCTGAATTATAAAAACAAGTATACTCATAAAAATTCAGGTTCTAAATCATTTCCTCACATAATGTTAGTCTGTCTATTTATTTTGGAGGCATGATGAAATGTAAGAAATGGGTACTTTCTTTCATTATTTTAAATAATGATTTCAAGTATCAACAATAGTTGATTATTTTAAATAGTTACCTTCAATTTCTGTATCAATTTGTGCACCACCTTTCCCTCTCCCAGACTTATTCTTAGCTGATCCTGCAGTTATACCACTGGCATTCTGCCCTTTTACAACTCCATTATGTTCATTTATGGGAGAAGGGCATTTCTGGGGTGATGATGGTGGACTACTCATTTTATCTTTCTGTGTTCCTTGACGATCCTTTAACTTTTTTTGCAAACGTTCGTATGTTTTACTAGATCTTTCATCTCTAAAGTTGGACCTTCCATGTGTAGAGTGAGCATCTAGGAAGAAAAGTAAGATTAAAAAGATAATTTTCTCTAAGTACATTTATGAAATAAGAAAAGAATAGTAAACACATCATTAAAAAAACTATGTAAAATATTTTGAAGAGTAATTTTACAAAGCAAAGCTATTTCTGTCCCTACTGACATAACCAAGTTTTGACTTACCTATCATCTCTCTCTCATTAACAGAGATATTTCTTCACCTTCTTGTGTATACTGTTATCATCAGTGGGGAGCAAAATCTGAACTGAGCTATGTATAAATGTTTTCCTTTTACTCTTTTTGTAGCCATTGCATTAACCATCTTAAACTTAAAACATCAAAGATAGGCAAAAAGAAAACCACCACTTTCCCAAGTTCTCTTATGACTCAAAAAGGTAATCCGCACCAAAAATTTTTTTTAGGAATTAGCAAAAAGAAATAAGTGGAGGGCCTCCGTGGTGGTGCATGGGTTAAAGACACAACACTATCAAGCTATAGGCAGCCACTGCAACATGAGTTTTTTTTTAAGATTTTTTATTTATTCATACAGAACTGGGGTACAGGCCAGAGATGCGGAGGGTAGGAGGAGCCACCAGAGACAGAGTGGGGAGCAGAACAGGCAGACTGTCGAAGTACACTGCTGAGGGGAGCAGCAGGCTGGTCAGGAGAAGTCTGCCGCACCATGTGGTCACCTCCGAGGCAGGCGGAAGTGGCTTAAGGTTCTTAGTGCTGTGCTTTAACCCGCTGCACCACCAGGGAGGGCCGCAACGTGAGTTTTAACTGGGCTAGGGAAATAACCCACATGGAGCAGCAGACCTCTCCAGTCTGGTCCACTCTTTCCCTCAATAGTACATTTCTGTCCTGCCTGTTCTGTTCCTCATTCTGTGTCTGGCGAATCCTCTCACCTCTGGTCTATACCCTAGTACTTGTATGCATAAATAAATAAACTTAAAAAAAAAAAAAGCAAAACTGTTTACTAATAAATCTAGGTACAAAGTAGTATATCTTCAGATATTATAAACTAAATGCTGTGACTCAGAAGAATGCATTCACTATAGTAAAAATCAAGCAATATAATAAAGTCAGTAATGTCAAATCAATTGTCCTTAAGAGTTTTAAAATATGTAACAAGAAAATAATTTAGGCCTCAAATATCCCAGCAAAGAAAACTATTAGTAATTAAGAAAATCAGTATAATATTCTCAAGTGTTATCTAAAGATATGTACAATACCATTAGAACAAGAAACAGGAATTTGTATTAAAAAAAAAACAACAACATGTGAAAGAACAAATCTGGTCCTCCCTGGTGGCACAGTGGGTTAAAGCACAGCACTGAGAAGCTAAGGCCACTTCTGCATGAGTTCGATTCCTGCCTGCCCCGGAGGAGATCCACATGGCGTGGCAGACCTCTCCTGACTCGCCCACTGCTCCCCTCAGCAGCGTACTTCGTTGATCTGCCTGTTCTGCTCCCCACTCTGTCTCTGGTGAAGCCTCTCGCCGCCCCTGAGCCTCTGGCCTGTACCCCTGTTCTGTACGCACAAGTAAATAAAATCTTTAGAAAAAAAAAGAACGAATCTGTACCTCCATCTCCCACCATATAATGGGTGAACTCAAAATGATTCAATAACTTAAAATGTAGGAGTTAAAACTATAAAAGTCACAGAAAGAAACAGGCATAAATATGCATATTCCTGAGTTTTAAGTTTTCTAGTTCTAAATCAAAAGCACACACACAAAAAATTGGTTCATAAAAATAAAATTTTTATCAAAATATTCCATCAAGAAAGCAAAAAGACAAAAAGTTATCTGATCAGGGACTTGTATCTGAACATATGAAAAAACAACAAATCTTTTACAATTCAAAACATAAAAATAAAGAATCCAATTAAAAATGGGTGAAGGATTGAATAGAAATCTTTCCAAAGAAGATAGACAAACGGTCAACAGGAAACCACCCCACAAACAAAAAACAATCAGTTGTTAGAAACAAGTCAAAAGTGTAATCAAATAAAAACTTCACATTCACCAGGCTAGCCATAATCAAAAGACAGACAATAAATTTTAGAAAGTATATGGAAAAATTAGAACCTTTACACATTTTTGAGGGGAATGTGAAATAGTCACTCTGGAAAAGTTATGCAGTTCAAAAAGTTAAATACTGAACTACCACATATGCAAGCAATACCACTCTAAAACATGTCTATACAAAACACTGTAAGCAAATAGCCATTAACTAATGAAGAGATAAATAAAACTATGTCCACAAAAAGATACATTTTATATGAAAATTTAGATCAAATATGCATATTGGCAGGTACACACACATGAAGTATCCCTAACTGTCAAATCCACGGAGATAGAATATTAGATTAGGAGATAGAAGTGAAGAAGGAATTGTTTGTGACTACTGGGAAGATGGAAACATTCTAGAGTTAGTGAAAGTGACTATAGTAGTTACTGAATAAACTAAAACCAAATGAATTGTAGACTTTAAAATGGTGAATTGTACTATGCAAATTCTCTCTCAATAAAAGAAAAAAACACAGGAACTGTAATGTAATTAGTGCATATTTAAAAAATGTAGTTATCTAAGTGGCTTTAAATTTCATTTATTCTTAAATAAAATGATAAAACAACCACATAGGAAAAATAAAGAATAGGTCATAGTAAAAAGAGCAGGAATTTCATCTGAAAGAGTTAAAATCCTTAGGAATAAAGCAGCTGTAACCTTGCAGAAAGGATTTAACATTTCTGAGTGTCCGTTTCTAAACCTTTATTATGCAGAATTTTTATTGAGGGTTACATGAGAGAACACATGTATAAAAATGTTTAGCAAAGTTCAGGCTCAGTACTGGCTGTCGCTGAGTGAAATGCTAGATTAGATACCTCTTTTGGGATCTGTACAAAATGTGCATGAAAGAGGTCATAGAGTCAGCTTCTGGTTATAAATCTACTGTCAAGTTATTAGAATCCGGTGGTAGATTCCTTGGTATACATGACTCTTTTCTTGGATGACTGGGTGGCTAGTTTCCTTACCTTCACATCATTGTAAATCATTTTTTCATTAATGGGTTTTAACAATGCAAACCAGTAGTAATTGTATTACCTAGTTTTATAATTGTCTCAAATTTAAAAAATTTGAGAATGAGTCAGAATTAGTAAAACACAGAAGAGACTGATTTGTAAAATACAAATTCTGGCTACTCAAAACCGTATTCACTACGAGTCTTAATGTAGAAATATGTTAAAAATTCAGAAACCCGAACTTTACCTTGATGACTAATACCTATTATCTGGGTAATAGAAATAAATCTAAAAAATGATGTACTATATCTTAATCTGAAGGGAAAAAATGTTTCATCAAAAAGAAGAAGAAAATTACTGGCAGTGAGAACATATGCAGAGGCCTTGAAGCAAGAACTATAAAGTTTTAAAAAACTCAAGGGGAAGAGATGGTAGGGCCAAGTGGGATAAGGCAGGCAGACATTACAGGGCAGGACTTTATAGGCCAGTGGTTTGCAACCAGCAACACCTGGCTGCTAGGAGTCATTAAGCAACTTCTGGAGATACCTTCAACTATCACTACTAGTTGAGTACTAAGGGCTGGAACTGTGCATTACTGGCATCTAGTGGGTAGAAGGCAGAGGATTCTGCTAAACATTCTATAATGTACATATAGTTACACAACAAAGAATTCTGAGATGGGGAAATAATGGTCTGACGGAAAGTTTAGGATTTTAGGCTAAATGCAACAGGAAGTCACTGAGCTCCTTTAAATAGGCGAACCGGATCTATATTTTAAAATGATCAGACTATTTGAGACTGGATGGCCCGAATAACAGCAGAAAACCAACTGGAAGGCAGCTGACAGTGAAGAAAAAGGAGATAAATTTAAGACAGTATTGAAATTAAAACTGCTACTAAGTTATGAAAGAGGAGGAATCAAATCTGGTCATCTGATATTCATTTGTGCAAACTGAGCAGACAGTAAGACTAGCTATTGTGATGACAGAAAAGCAGGTTCAACCAATGAAATTTATGTTTTAGAACTGCTGTAACAGAGACCTATCAGGTATAGAGGCAGTGAGAAATTTAAGTCAGTTTCAGAGGGGACATTTTGGCTAAAGATATAAATCCATCAGTGCAGGAGTTAAAGTCATGGAGAAGATCAAAATCACATTTTTATGTGTGTGATTATCTATGATTCCTAATGATTTATTAAATTCTCTTATTAAATTCTCATAATGATTTATTAAATGCTGTTTTCTCATTATTTTTTTTTTCCAATCCTAATAAATACCTAGCAAATTTGGTTAGTGGCATCAAGCCAGTAAGATTTAACAATATTATGACTGATACTAGATGAAAATTTTCCTCAGTCTACAGCACGAGACAGAATAGTAGAGCTCTTACTTGAATGTGGCTGCATAATATAAATTATTTCCCTTTTTGATTTTCTGCCTACTCATCTGCCTTGAAGCTCATCATAAGGATAAAATGATTAACACAGTCCCTGGGTAACAGAATGATTGTGATATATTGCCATTTGTTGCTGTCTTTTATATGACAATAGCATCTATTAAATGCAATAAAAATTTAGTCATCTCCATAAAACAGGAATATTTTTAGATGTCTTACCTACATCTCCATATACTTGTGAAGACTGATATTGTGGCATATATTGTGTTGCCATGTCTCCAGCTCCAGTCACTGGTGAGTACATATGGCGTGGTGGAGGGGGCATCATGGTTGGTACAGGAATGAAACCAGGCAGAGGAGGATGTGGAGAACGGTGTATGACTGTGTGACCACCAGGATGAAACTCTGGTGCTTGAGGAACCACAACAACTCTTCGAACACCATTGTCTTCAATAACCTACAAAATAAACAATGGATTCAAAGTTTCTTATAAAGGATGCAAGAAATTCTTTTAAAATATGTTAGAGTAAGACTTCAACATTTTAAGAAATTTTGCCAATCAGATGAAAAGATTTTATGAATGAGCAATGAACAACGAAGTAGTTTTTGTTATACAATGATAAATAAATCTTCAAATACCGAGATTAAATAAAAATGTGTTATGCACATGCATTTAGCAGTAAATAAATAATAAATGCTTTATTTAGCAGTAAAAATAGAGACTCTAAAAGGATACAATAGGAAATTAATTTCCTTTTCTAAAAGGAATTTAGGGGGTGAGGGAAAGAAAAGTTGTAAAAAGAGCCAAACTGTGAAATAGCAACAGTGGGGAGGACTGAATCCATATTTGTGGGAGCAGCCATATATTGAACTCTTGTGACCATGATCAGGACAATTAAAATAGTTTATGTGAAGAGGACATAACGATAGATTTATTTATTTATGAACTCACTGGAGCTGCAAAGATATACAAGAAAGTTTTAGGATACAATATTTTATCACAAAATTTGGAATCCCTCTACTGAAATAGAGCCCTTACTCTATGAAGGTAAAAGAAATGGTTAATAATTAACTTTTCTAAGGAAACAGAAAATAATGAAAATATAAAATGTTTACTTAAAGGGCAATTCTGATATTTTCAGGAAGGCTCCAATTCACAGGAAATATTGTATCTAAACACATATGTACTTAAGTATAATCATAAAACATATTTAGTACAGATAATTTAAATTACAAATAAATGATTACTACCTTAGAAAGAATATTATTAACATAGTTGTTACTAGACAGTCAGCTATTCTTAATCTAGTGTGGTATGGGTCTAAAAGATAAAATGAATTCACTATTTTTTATATGTCAGCTCTAGACCTACAGAGCTAGATAAGTAGATACACTTTGTCCTACTTTTATTTCATATTCACCTCAGTTTTGAAATTCAAGTTTCAGACAATTGGTGGAAACCAAATTGTGTCTGGAACTCTAGCTGAAGAGAATCTGGAAATTAGAGTTTTTTAGTCTTCAACTTAAAGGATATTAGAAGGAATTTGGAATGGATTTTGAGAAAGCAAAACCATGTCTGTCACAATACACAACTTTTCTTCTATCAAGTGACTAAAATCTTAAATATCTCCCTACCTCCTTTTCAGACAGGCGTGTAGTCCATATGCTTCAACAGTACATTCAATCTGGTTCCAATATCTTACTGTATCTTTTTCTTCTATACCAAATTCTGAACTCATAACTGCAGTCAAATTGGTACACTAAAAAAGTCACCCTAATACTGAACTAGTGTCTTGTGCTTTTATTTATACCATCTTTCCTCTCCATTTTGCTTTTTAAAACTATGTGTAAATCTACATTTTGCTTCCAAATCTAACTCTGACTTTTCTTTATTAATTAAAAAAAAGACAAAAACACTAAAAAAGTAGCTTTTGAATAGAAAAAAGAAACTAGTATTTTAGAAGAAAGAAAAAAAGTGAGAGTAATGTTATTTATGGGGTAACACAAGTATTAGTAATAGTGACAGACAAATATAACTCAAGTAAATTAGCTTGCTGCAAGGCTAAAAATACTATTTGGTAGAAAAACAGAACAGGCAGGGAGATTAGGAGTATTGTGGGAGGGGAACAGACTGAAATGTTAAATAGTGATCTGGATTATTGGCGAAATGAAATCTGAGCAGACACTTGAAAGAATTAGGCATGCAGAAATCTGGGAATGTCCTGGGTAGAGGTGAGTAGAAGGAAGCTAGACTGGAAGCATAACGGAGAAGGAATGATAGAAATTGAGGTAGCAAAAAAGAGAAAAAGGAGGGTGGGACGGCCAGGTTATGTAAGGCATAATGACTTAGACTTCGGCATTTACTCAGTGAAACAGAAACATCAGAGTTTTTAGGCTGAAGAATGATGTGTCAGTGGTTTCCAGACAGAAGTGGTCTTGCCCCAGAGGATATCTAGCACAATCTGGAGGCTTTTTTGGTTGTCATAACTGAGGTAGGCTGGGGAGAATGTAGTGGGTACAGAGGCCAGGGAAGCTACTAAGTATCCTACAATACAAAGGGCCGCTCCCTGCAACAATAAAAATCATCAGACCTAAAATTATAATGCTATAAATTTTTATATATTCACACATATACAGGATTACTGTGGCTGATGAGTTGAGAATATATTGTTGGGCAAGGGCCTAAAAATAGGGAAGATATTTAGAAAGCTATAGCAATAATATAGGTTAGGGAGATAGTGCAGATTATGAGGAAGCAGTCTATATTCTGCACATATTTAAAAAGTAGAATAAAGTCAGCCAGTGAATCCATCAGAGAAGTGAGAAAAGGTTGTTATGACAAAATGGTGTTCTAACAATTGCGATGGGGAAAAACTAAGGTAAAACAAGGTATTTTGGGGGAAAAGTTTTGGTTTTTATTTTGGACACATGAGTCTGATAAATTTGAGACATTTAAGTGTAATAGTTGAGGTAACTGTCAGGAAAGTCTGGAAAAGGACAACCAATTGAGGTAGAAAAGAAATTAATGGTGTTTGGAGAGTCTAGACGAGGTTATCAAGGAAAGAAGATCAAGTTTGTCAAACCTGCTATAGACCAAGCAAGATTAAGACTAAATTGATTACTGGATTTAGCAGTATAGAAGTCATGACCTTGATAAGATCAGTTGGTGTAATAACAGGGGCAAAGCTGGAATGGAGTGGGTTTAACAGAGAGTAGAGAAAACGAGAGAGCCTGTAGCTCTATATAGGAAATGGGAAGTTTTCCTGCAGGAATAATGAAATAGGGTACTGTCTGCTAATAAGAGTCTAAAACTTTACTTTTTTTTTTTTTTTTAAGATTTACTTATTTGTGCATACAGAGCTGGGGCGTAGGCCAGAAGTGCAGGGGGTGGTAAGAGGATTCACTAGAGACAGCGCGGGGAGCAGAACAGGCAGATCGACGAAATACACTGCTTAGGGGAGCAGCGGGCGGGTCAGAAGAGGTCTGCCTCTCCATGTGGGTTACCTCCAGGGCTGGTGGGGATCGAACTCTTGTGAAAGTGGCTTTAGCTTCTTAGTGCTATGCTTTAACCTGCTGCACCACCAGGGAAGGCCCAAAAAAAAACCTTACTTGTTTTTAGCGAGTCAATTACAACATGCTGATATATAAATTAGAAGAATGATCTATCAGAGATAAAGCGAATGATGATTTACAAGGTAAGAAAAATGCTAAGCAATATCCTTGAGTACACAAAAGGGGATGAGATCCAATACTCTGTGAGAACATTGAATCTGGTTAAAAGCAGGAAATTTTGTCTGTTTTAGATGAAAAAAGAAGAGTATATGGGTTGAGATGAGAAGGCAGAACTTTTAATTAACATAGTGGCAGAGATATGGGGATCGGAGTCTGTGGGAGATTTTTTTCTTGATTGTTCTATAGGAATCACTTTGTGGGCACTAAAATTTTAGTGATCTTTCCCTCCTATTATCTGTATTGCAGTCATTCTGTAACACTTGTTTGGTATTTACAGCATTGAGGTATTTGTAAAAATTTTAAATTCATATGTCATCTTCTATAACTTAACAGTAAGTTAACTATTTAATCCTCATAAATATGATCCAAATAGATAGCATTAGTAATCTGCCATGGGCACATAGGTATTAGTGGAGTAGCTAGTATTTGAACTCAGGCATTTTTCACTTCAATTCTGTTTTTACTCACTTTGTAGGTATAGAATCCTGTGTATTTTTAACACTGACAAACACACAGTAGATTTCACTAGTTAAAAAAAGAAATGGGGTCCTCCCTGGTGGCGCAGCGGGTTAAAGCACAGCACTAAGAAGCTTAAGCCACTTCCACCTGAGTTCGATTCCCGCCTGCCCCGGAGGCAACCACATGGCGAGGCAGACCTCTCCTGACCCGCCCGCTGCTCCCTCAGCAGTGTACTTCGTCGATCTGCCTGTTCTGCTCCCCGCTCTATGTCTGGTGAATCCTCTCACCCTCCGCATCTCTGGCCTGTACTCCAGTTCTGTATGAATGAATAAATAATTCTTAAAAAAAAAAAAAAAGAAATGGCCAAATTCCTAGTGAAATTAAAACTTTTCTGTGGAAAATGGACAGTTAAGCACAAAATAAGTTGGGAGAAGGAAGGAGATTGGACAATTATTGGATTAGTGGGTACAGCATTTCAGTTTTACTAGATGAAAGCATTCTGTGGGTGTACAGTATGCTGTAAATGTACTTAAAACCCTTAATCTGTACAGATTTAAAATGATTTTGTATGGTGGGAAATTCCTTAATGTGCTTATTAATTAAAAAAAAAAAAGCAAGGGCAGAGGAAAAAAGGAGTCTGAGCAGTACCAAAAGCTTATGGCGAACTCTACCAATTTAGGAACAACCTGAACAGCAGATTACTTCAGAGAGAGCCCCCCCTCAAAAAAATTCAAAGCAGATTATCTAAGTCTCCAGTTGCTGAAGAAAAATGCCCAACTGTGTTTACACTGAATCTTAGAACAAGGTACACAGATATTAATGACTAAAACCAAAAAATAGTGGAAAGAAAACAAAAATCCAAATTAGCCTATGTTAAAAAAGTGAAACGGATTAGAAAATGAAGTATAATTAAATAGCAATGGCAGCATAATCTGGACCCTAGTCAGATTATTAAAAGCTCTGTTTTCTTTATTGTATATAGACACAACTGAAAGGGGCTAAGGAGAAAGGAGGTTGTATTTACTACCTAATATTTTATTCTATGTATATGTCTTCTCCACTGGAATATACATTCCATGTCAAAATTATTCTGTTTACTGTTTTCTCCCCCAAAGTGAGAACACTAAAGCTAGCATATGGTATGACCAAAACAAATGTCTGTTAGTTCTACTAAAATACTAATCTCTTCCCTCCAATAGGCCCCCAACTAACAAAACAAGCTGATAGGGTCTTCACTTTCTCAATTTCTAGAACCTGTTTACCCTCTGTCTTTAGCAATCTACTTCTATGGTTTTACCCTGAACTTAGAGCTACTCCAATTTTAAGCTATTAAACATATGTATTTCTGACCATTCATTCAACAGATATGTACTTTACATAAGTATCACACACATACACAGCAATGTCAGTAAATGATTGCAATCCTTCTGTACAGCTCTTATTATAGCTCTTCATTTTCATGTAAATTCCCTACCTTCCAATTTCTTGTTCTGTTGGCCATCTTTTTGGTCTTTTTTCCCAGGAGGAGAGTGCTATCAGGATAGTTTGTAGAATCTTTGAAAAATTTACTGGCCTCATTGCTATGTGTTGACATAAAGACAATGTGAAATGCTAAGTCCAGCTCAATGGAACAAATTGAAATTTCTGAGGCTGATAGAGGTCATTTTCCCACATTATGAGATCTATAATCCCTTCCTATTAGGTATCCTTTCATCACCATAACAACCAACATTCCATAAAAAAAGGGGGAAGCCATTATCAGAAATGCAAAGGAAGAATTTCTTTTCCAACAAGTTTCATTTTGATCTTTTTGTAAGTCAGCAAATTCATCACTAAAACCATCAAGTGTTATTCCATGCTGCAATGCTCTCAGGATACAGTTAGTATTCTCCAGTAAATATATATAGTTTGTATAGTAAATATATATAGTTTGTATATATTTCATTATTTGATATCTAAGTTCAGTTGGTAAACACTCCTGTCTCTGCAGTATGTCATTCCTTCATACACTTCCTTTTCTTATTTGTTAAACTGCAGTAATAGAACTTATTAATATTATGACCCAAGTTATGATTGTAACTTTGTAATTAGAAAAAAGGATAGAGGGAAATAAACTGAGTGCTTATAGAGTATCTTTGGACTGAAACATTCAGTGAATTTTTTTTGCAACTCTTTACATATTTTCGAAGTTATCTACATAATTATGGTAAGAAAAAGTTTAAGATATACAACTGTATTTGTTCTTTACTGCTAAATATTATTTCCCCATGTCTGCAAAACTAATATTACTTTTATCTTTTTACCTCTGTTGATCATATTATAATTTGTGTTAGTTTTCCCTAACAGTTATTTATAGCACTCACTATCATATTTAATAGCATAGAAGTATCATGGCTAATAAAAAATTCTTGTTCTTGAAGTAAGAATTTTGTTAGTTATTAAATCTATTTTAAAAGCAATTTTTGCTCACTGGCAGAAAAGGCTTAGAGTACAGGCCAGAGGTGCAAGGGTGGTGAGAGGATTCACCAGAGACAGAATGGGGAGCAGAACAGGCAGATCAAGGAAGTACACTGCTGAGGGGAGCAGTGGGCTAGACAGGAGAGGTCTGCTGCACCATGTCGATCACCTCCAGGGCAGGGGATCAAACCAGCACTGCGGTGGCTGTGGCTCACTTAAAGTGCTGAGTACTAATCCATTGTCCCACCAGGGAGGGCCCCAGATTAGACCTTTTTAACAGCAACTTTCTCTTCAAAACTTAAGGTCAACAGAATAAAATAATCCAATTTCCCTATACTGTTAAGTAAAATGCTAAAGTATCAGAGCAATATGGTAAAAAGATTATAAACAAAACTGTAGAACTCCTGAATAGGAATGTAAAGGATGTATAATACAACTGGCAATTTCAATAGCAGGTTTGGCCTTTACAAACTGCAAATGAGGAAAACAGAACCATATATTCCTAAAGCTACTCAGTTTTGAATACCTTAATTGTTATTATCAGTGTCAGGTATGAACAGCACAAATTTATAAGATGAAACATCTTAGGTAAATCATGATTTATGTTCCTCTGATAAGTACCTTCAATAAATCTTGATCTTAAATTAAGATCTTCTGCCCCAATATGTTCCTAAATACATACCATCATTATTTCATCAGTGATGGAGCTAAGCAGTTTCAATGCTGGATTTTAATTATTGTAGCCCTTGTTGGTCTGACCAAACATTAGGATAAATTTACTGAATCCTAACAGCTGTACTGAATTACATGATAAAAAATATGATCTGATCTTTACTCAGTCACCACTGGCCTTCAATAATGGAAACTGGCAAGAGATGGAGGAAAAGCAAGAAGTGAAGGTAAACAAATCTGTAGCCACAAGGAGAAATCAGTGCATAAAAAGTCTAAAAGGAGACACTAAACGGGATATTGTCTCATTTAGTGTGTTGTGTGTGTGTGCGCGCAACATGGTTCCTGCTGAGTCAAATACAAACAGCCATCTGTGTCTTAACATTTGGTTCAACTCCTACCTACTAGATTTCCTTATAAAATTATTTTTGATTGTGAGTCATGATTTGGACAATTATCAAAAGTTGCCTAGTTGTGCCTAGATTTTTGGCTCTTAAGTATTTTATAAATTTAGAAATTGTGTATGTCAGGAAAGGGGAGGTGTTTTGACAGTTTTGTCAAAATGCTAGAATACAGTTTTACATAGTGGATGCTTAAATTAGTTTAATAGCGATGACACTAGATTTTTGTTTTTGTATTACCCTGGTATGCTTGACAGTGGTACACTCGCTAAAGGTAATCTTAAATTAAGACAGACTCAGTCTAGCCACAGTGGCCTTTTCCCATTGCTAGACAAGCTCTTCTCTTAAGTCATTTGCACGAAGTACTTTTGTTTCCAGAATCCTCCTTCTGCAAATATAGGCGTGGTTAACTTCCACATCTTCCACATCGTTCAAGATGTGGTTCAAATGTCACCTTTCCAAGAAGCCTATTTTAACTAACCTATTTTAAGATGTAAACAGTTGTTTCATTTCCCTCTTCCAGCCCATTACTCACCATAATACATTACCTATTATTTGTTTCTTCTCACAAGAATATAAACTACAAAGGAACAGAAGTCTTTGCCTCTTTCATTCATGTACATATTTCCAAGCATCGAGAACAATGCTGGGCAGGTCTGAGCACTCAATATATATTTGTTGAAATTGTTAAAATATAGGAACTGTATAAGAACTCACAATCTTACTGAAGAAAATGTATTAACTAAACAGTATGATAAGCTGAGGGGCATATATATGTATGAACCCAAAAAGAGGTACCTGGAAAGGTTCAAGGGAAAGCTACTTTTAGAATGTCTTAAGTGAAACAAGAAGGATAGAATCTGTCATAAAAATGAAAGCTATTGTCTGAATGAATGGCAGAATACCCTGTAATAACATGGAAATAATTGATCTTAATCATTTTTTTGTCACTAGCATTAGCTTGGCACCTGGTACCATTTAATATATGTTTGCTGAAATGAACTGTAGTAGAAAAGAACAGGTATGGTCTTGCATAAATGGACGAAGGTTTGAGAAGAAGTAGCCAGAGAAATAAAGAATAAGGACAGCATGATGTTAAGGAAATCTGGGGTAAATCCTATCAGTGGTGTTAAATAATGAGAGGTCAAAGCGGACCAGGGTGAAAAAAATGGTTTGGTTTTAGTAAATATTAAGGGGCAGACTTTACAGGCAGAAATATACTGAATTCAAGAGTCAATATACTAAATGTATAGAGGTGAACCAGCTGCCTTTCAAATGATCTTTTCAGATATGGTATCTCATAAGTTATTATCTGATATTATAATGAGAAAATAGACTTAAGAATGTTGATTTGTCCAAGGTCATTTAATCATCAAGAGGAAACATACTTCTGAAGAATGTGATATTATACCTCTGAGGTGGAAACCACTGTTATCTAAAAAAAAAAGGAAAACCTCAACAACAACAAAAAACATGAAAAAAGATATTTATTTTTTCTGACTACGTCCATTTCTCATACTACGTCCATTCTCCTCACCAGCATGGTTTTATTTTACTGCTATACACAGTGTGCTATACACAGTAGACGGTGAATTCACAATATCCCACCAATTTCTAACATACATATGGAAGAAGTTAGAGAAGACCTGAAGAAAATTTGAAGTGTAAATGCAGTGCTGGGAAAAGAAACTGAAAATGTCCAAAAAGGATTTGAAGCAATGAATACATACTATATATGATCACAGTAGAAGATATTTAACACCTGCAGATCTTCATATTAATTTGCCTATACAAGGAGTTAAGCTTTAATCTATTAGTAAGTCTGAGCTTTGCAACTGGTATACAGGAAAGGGTTACTGGTATATGGTGATATCCCCTTAGCCCTTCTAACAGGTCTCAATTCTCTCTGATTTATGATGCTATACAGCAGTAACTGCTGATGTGAGTCATTGTATAATAAGGCGGAAAGCATTAAGCAAATTATTAATTAAAGTAAATGTTAATGTAAGATACTATATCCATGATTTAAATACTTAGGGATATAAAATTCTTAAATTAACTCTCTAATTATAATTCAGTCCCCAAAGAGCAGGCCAAACAATGAGTGCTACCAATTTAATATTTCCTCCTTTCCAAATATACTAAATGTATTAAAATATTTGAAAAAGATTTATAAAGATTTTTTATGCTGAGTAAACTTCAATGCCTTATGGTATTTTTAATTTGAATTAAATAAGAGTTAACATTATGATTATTACTTTATAGCTATAAAAAGAAAAAAAATGTAAAAACATACCTGTGGGGCATATCCAGGAGGCACATAAATTGGAGGCACAGAACCATTTGGGGACATCATTGGAACCTGAGCAGGACCTGAATGGGTCATAGAAATGATGTTTTAACCCAGGATTATTTAGAAAGCTAATGTTGAAAACAATTTGTTACCTCTTTGAATGCTTCATCTACACACTGAAATAGTGATTGTATTATGACAAAAAGAATTCAGATGATTCATCTGTTATAAAATATAAAGTTTATCCTGTAAAATTCATTTATTACATTTTATCTGTGGCTGTGTCTCTCAAACTTACCTTGGAGCTTTTTAAAACACATATATTTTAGACCTCTCTGGTGGTGCAAGGGCTAAATTCTCAGTGCTATCAAGATATTGCCAGCCATTGCAACACTAGTTCAACCCCAGGCCAAGGAGCTAATACACATTGCTCAGCAGACCTCTCCTGTCTCACCACTGCTCCCCTTAGCAGTGTATTTCAGTAGGCCCGCCTGTTCTGCTCCTCACTGTCTCTGGTGAATTCACTCACACCCTGCACCTCTGGCTTATACCCCACCCTTGTATGCATAAATAAATAAAAATAAATCTCTAAAAACAACAACAAATGAAATACACTGATTTCCAGTTTCCCCTAAAATACTTTTCCTAGTAGTCTTACAGTGGTGTCTTGAATTAGTATTTACTTTTATAAGTATCCCAGGTGATTCTTGTGATTGTGCAAATTTAGAAAAACTGACCTGGAGGAAAAGCAAACTGAACTTTGTATTTAAAATCAATGAAAAGTTAAGCAAAATTTTGAAAACAGAAAGGGAGAGAGAGAAGGGGAGCTGTAAGAAAAGAGAAGGAAGATTGGGAGGTAGACAGGAAGGACAGAAGCAGCAGGGAGGGTAAGGGTGAAGCATAGGGAAAAACCTAAGTGAGTTAAGAAGAAATAAGTGTATATGTGGGAGGGACAGCTATGAATTTATGTTATAAAGTCTATAAAATAACCTCTTGATAATATACTTTTGCATACAAAACAAGGTCACCAAATACATGATTTGTTCAGAATTTATCTTAAAAGGCTAATTGTATAGTGCTAATTCTAACTTACTCTGTGCCAGGTTTTAAAGTAAATGTCCTCCTCATTATCATTGTAATAAGTAATTTCCCAGATGTGGAAACTGAAGCAGAGGCATGAAATTAATTTTGCCCAAATAGTAGAGCTAGAATCCAAAACTAAGCCATTGCATTTCTCAGGATGTATCTCTACTACATATTTAGTAAACATTAGAACACTACTTATTACTGACAAAGGATTTGGGGTATCAGAATTCTTCTCAGATGCTTCTAAGAAAATCAAGGTCTTCCTTTTCTTTATAACCTTAAAAAATTAGACAGAAAACTTTCTCAAATTTAAACCAATATTTACCCATTAATTTACTAAATAAAACTTGTGAGGTGCTTTATATACCACTAGACAAGAGGACTTCATCCCAAACTTACCTTTTAACTTTCATATTTTCAACTCAAAGCAATATGAGAACAGTTTTAAACTAATGTTATTTTATTTCTATTAACTAATTTGTGTAAAACTACAGTAAACTAGCTATTTTAATCATGAAAGCTGGCTTAATATTTATACTATAGGAAATTTAGTAGGGAACGAGAGCAAATGCATTGGAAATCTTATTTATAATCTTAGTAAAGGAAATTAACATTTACTGAATTTCTGTTTGATGTGCCAGTAACTGATTCCTTTCACATGTCAGATTTAAACCTATAGTAAGTCATCAGAATAGATTTTTGATTTTTAGCTGTCAGAGGAAAAAAAATATAGCTGATTATACCCCAAATTGTAAAAGCATATTACTAGTTTGGGTTGTTCTTCTTTTACCAGAAATATGAATAAATCCTATATAGTTACAATTAAAATGTTACTATACTTTGAAAACTGCTAAAATGGTTTATAATTTAGTAGTAAACATTTTTACTTTATCCTTTAATATATTTAGTATAATTCTGAAAACAACAAAACAAATCCAACCTAAAATAAACAAGCAAATAATTTAGTACGATTCATAAATTATAAACTCAATTTTCCCTATGAAGTTATTATTTCCACCTGGCATATAAGTCATCTTATTCTGAGGTAGAAATGGTACATGTTTTTTTTCTTTTTAAAAATAAGACAATCCATGTATATATTTAATATTTAAACAGTGGTGTGAACATAAAACTCCCTTTGTATAAACTTAGTCGACCCAAGTATTAATATTTAGGACTACCATATCAACAGCACTATTTCTGTGGCTATTTCTGTAAAACCCCAATCCTTGCATACTTAATGATGCAATGTTCTATAACTTCCTTAGTTCCTTTTGACTTAGGAAGTACTAAAAGATTACCAATTCTGACTAAATGCAATGAGAGGGATTTTCTCCCAACAAAGACACTAAATTTGTTGCATTGTATTGTAATATATTAATCTGTTATAGGTTAGGAGCACATTTGGTACAAGAACAGCTCTAGCTCAACAACTGTAGATCTACCTAGCAGTTCCTTAATACTCTACATGACCTGAACAAGAGCTATTTAAAATCAGAATATTATTCTTAAGGCCATACTTTCTATTCCAAAATACTGCAGAGTAAACAATTCGCCAACTGTCTTAAATTGGAGATATCTCTCATCTCAATTCCTAAAACATGCCACCATCTAGTATTTTTTCATAATTAGTGTATACTAGCATTTAAAAGATTTTTTTTAATAGAGAAAGTGCACATTTGCCCGAGTTTAAATTTCTAAAATGCAACGTGCTGCTGACGTGCCACATTCGCTTTATAACCAAGCTTCCACAATGGCTTCCAAATAAAGATGCCAAACTTCAGATTTTAATTGTAAAAAAGAATCTAATAAAATAAAGGTAGTGGAAAGAAATATTCGGTGAGATAATCAAATCGCCCAACTTTAAAGTGTTCAATATTTTTATAACTACATGGTAATATTTTAAAATATTTTTACAGCGAGAGTTAGCACCTACTGGAAAAAAACCCCACACGGCAGGGCTTTAGATTAATGCACTGCTTTCTACGTTTTAAAATAAAAGTATAATGTTCAAAAACAGCAAATCTTACCACTCATTTTTTTTTAACAGAAGCAGCAGAACAAGAAAATCCAACAAGGAAACGGCGTAGTACACGTTAACAGTTTTAATTGGAGAACGGTTTCATTTTTTTTTCTTGCAAAGCAGTAAGAGGAAAAGATCCTTTGACCGAGTCACGTGATACACATCACATGACCTGCGGTAACCGCGGAAAGGGAAAGTTAAAAAAAAAAAAAAAAAAAAACCCTTACGTTCCTGCTCTCAGCCTTTCAGACACAGAAATGCTTTCTATTACTGCTGCCTTTTTCAGTTTTCAGACTTCCTTATGAACTAACTCAAAAGCTTACCAAAATTATATGTTCACAAAATCTATATTTACTGTAAAACAATTCTCTTTCATTTTCCACTACCACCACAGGCACTTTTTCTAATTTTCATTTTATCACTGAACTGCTTTTCATTTAGAAAATTTAAACATACATACAATATTTAACTTAGAATATTAACCTCTGAAATATCCTTTGTGTTAACTTACTCCATTCTACACTCAAACCTTAAGAATAGTACACAAAGAATTGTCTATAGAATCTGGTTTTGCCCAATGTGTTTGAGCATAGATTTTTCCAGGCAGGCATTTGCCTATCAAGCTAGTAAGGCTTAACACTTTTATTTTATGTTATTTTTAAAAATTTAACTTGGACATTAATACCACTACTTAGTAGGTGGCAGTCTCACTCACATCCATCTTCAAGACAGGTTATGGGGTTGGCTTAGACCAAGCAGAAGGGGAGACAAGAAAGAAACCAAAATTATTTTCTAGACTGGAAAAGTACTGTAAGAACTTTTAGAAGTCTTTAAATTATTTTATTATCTAAGTTAAGGAAATGTATTGGTCACTAACAAAATGGTGATACTGACTAGTAACAAAATTTAGATTGTGGAAAGAAAATGGATTTTAGTATCAAAAGATAAAAGTTTTAGTAAGAGTTTCAATACTTATTAGCAAGACAATTCATTACTCTTCTTTGGGTGTCAGTTTCCTTCTGTAAGAAGATTAAAATAACATTGTAGCAGGAATCCAAATAGGGAAAGAAGAAGTAAAACTGTCCTTATTTGCAGATGATATGTTAATTTATATGGAAAACCCTAAAAGCTCCACAGAGGAACTAATCAAAACCATCCACCAGTTTAGCAAGGTAGCAGGATATAAAATCAACACACAAAAGTCAGAGGCTTTCCTATACACAAACAACCAATCAGAAGAAGCAGAGATAAAAAACCATCCCCTTTTCAATTAAAACAAAAAGAATCAAATACCTGGGAGTCAACTTGACAAAGAAGGTAAAAGACCTCTACAAAGAAAATTACAAAACACTGTTAAAAGAAATACAAGAACCTGCTCACACTGTTGGATTTAGTTTCCCTACAAATGTAACCATGCTTCTGCTCTTTGGTACTTAAACAAAAAAATTCCTGAAGCCCATTTTCCCCTTTTAATTTAGGTTATGTTCTCATTCAGTTGGTGTTTCCATTTCTTGAGTCTTTTAAAACCGATAATTCTTTCTGTGTGACCACTAAGCCCTCCTTTCCCCCGCCCCATACCTCCATAAAAACAAATACCCATACATCCCCAACATTTTCACAGGACACGTTTGGTTCTTGTGTTTCCTTTAACTAAAAACTTATTCTCCTCAGGAGAGTTTTTCTAGTACTTCCCTGGAGCAGAAGCTTTCTATTCTATCCACAGGTAGTTTCCAGCCATCTGAGGTTGCTTCCAATCACCATAGTTATTCCTGTTTCATGCTCAAATTCTCTTTTCCTGAGATTATATCATATGATCATACTACCTTCTACCCCTTCCTCACTGCTGTCATGCTCAGTCTTTATTTTTTGGGAACACTGGCACTGTTTACACAGAGCCATGAATTTAAAGTTCAAAATATTACCTAGCCACCAACTTTCTCTCTCTCCCATTTTTTTTAGTAGTCAATTTTC